AGAGAGAGAGAGAGAAACAGAGAGATGCAGAGCCTTAAATATGGTGGCATTTACTTTGCCAACGACTCAGGAAAAAATAGGAGGGGGCACATTAAATTGTGAGAATGGAAACAAATGGAAAAGAAAGGCATATTTTGAAGTGTGACAAGAAGAGAAGGGCAGTGAGACAAGAAAAGGAGTCCAGGTTCCAGGGTTTTATATTTATGAGTCTGGGAGGGTAAGTTGGTACGCTGCCAACCACATTTGAAATTCAAATAGTATGAAATGGCTTTTGGAAAGTTTCTCAGTGGTTGGTGTGAAATTGTGAATATAGTGATTTGATTGAGTCTTGCTAACTCGTGTCATTCATTCTCTGTTCAACCAATTATGTTTGGTAATTGGTTTCTCAACAACACATCTATGTGCTGCAAAAAGTTTGATTTCCTCAATATCAAACTCATCGTCACTTTCTTCCACATTCAAAGGCAGAGATATAGATGTAAGTGGACATACTTGTTAGAAATCAAACCCTCTTTGGTATAAATCCATACAGGGAAGTTCATACATCACTATGAAAGTATATTCATGATTCATAGAATCTATAAAAATATATTTAACGCCGTTGCACAGGATCGTTAAATTTTCCTCTCAGCAGGTAACACCTCCAATTTCACATCACCACCACCACCTTCATCTTCGTCATCACCACCTTCCTCCTCCCCCACTACTCTGAGCCGTTACGAGAACCAAAAGCGACGCGACTGGAACACGTTTGGGCAGTACCTACGGAACCACAGACCCCCACTTTCACTCTCACGATTTTGAATACCTATTAGACGCAGAAACTTCAGAACCCCAAAATCCCAAACCTAAAAAGAAAACAGAAAAAATTCAGAATATTTAGAAATTGAGATTGGAATTCAAAATTACCCTATTGTAGCAACAAAGGTCGCAATACAGTTCAAAAAATAAAAGCGACAGAAAAATGAAAGAGGAAAATTTCAAAGCTTGGTCCAACGTGATTGTGTCATTAATCGAAAGGGAGAGGAATGGGAATTTAGGACTCACAGATTCGGCGTCAATGGTGAAAACGAGAAGATGAAAGGAGGGGAAGGAAGAAGATGAGATTGGGGCCGGAGCACAATTTTTTAATCACTTCCTGCCACGTCAACTTTAATGAAAAACACTTTCACTGCCACGTCATGAAGGTAAACAGCCACGTTGCACAGGATCGTTAAATATTTAACGCCGTGACCAAAAAGGATTAACTTGAACACTTTTTTCACAAAATGGGACCAAATTGAACATTTTGAAAAAGGTAGGACGAAATTGAACATTTCCCTTATAAAGAGGGACAAAAACAGGTATTAAGCCTTAAATTTAAACCATTATATTTGACTATTTTCTTTCTCGTGTTTAGTGTAACAAGCAAATACATTCTTGAGCATGCGGGTACTACATCATGCCATGGATGAAGACAATCATCCGAGCATGAACTAGAGAAGATTTGACTGAGGTAATAATTTACATTTGAAATATTACAAATCTCAATCAACTTTACACATTAGAATGAAAATAATAGTAAAGTTTTCTTGATCTTGTAGCGGTTAAACATTTCATCTTCATTGACAAATGCCATAATAAGGAAGCTAAGACAGGAATGGGCAAGATATCTTAATGAAAGATGGAATTAGGCTAGAATAGTTTACTTTACTTTAAGTTCTTTTTGTTTTGATATTGATAGCTTTAGTGTTACCTTTGATATAATTTCGACTGTGAATAGATGAATTATGGTTATATATACATTGGAAAAATTAGTTTTTTGATTTTCAGGTGTAGTAAAATTAAGAAAAATGAATCAATTTAAAAAAAACCATAAATTTAATGTCGGCTCATGCACTAAGAGATGCCAATATACTTATATTGACCTAAACGACGTCAAATTCCTTCCAATGCACACCCAAAGTAAATATCCGCTGGGCGAATTTCTCTGAGGCTAAGTGAGAGGGATGTCACCCTCTAGGTATATTCGACATCCATGCCATGTCTCACCTTTCTTTAGTGTACGTCAAATCCTCCATTACATCCAACAAAAGGAATGACCATTAATCACAAATTAGATGTCGAAGTTCTTATGGGACGACGTCTTATATCTTAAATTAACGTCGGCCCTTATAATTCAATGTCAATTTAATGTCTCCGGATATGACGTCGACCTCGACTTCGACGTTAAAGGTCGAGAAACACTGACATTATACGTTGTTTTTGTACTAGTGATTGATATAGGAAACTAGTAATTATAGGTTATTTTGACGCTTTCAATAACTTCCATACTCAAGAAGAGAATGATGGTTATGTGATGGAGACTAGTACGAGATCCCTAGTCTATTTGTTATTTGTTAGTCGTAGATGCTTGAAAAGATTAACCTTGAAGTGTGGTGAATTGTTGATGAGGATACTATTGTTGTTGTTATACCACCTCAAAGGCAGGACCTCTATAGTTTGATATCAATACATGTATCCAAATGGTCAATCTAGAGTTAGATAGTGAATTGTGTATGAATTTTGTTGGTAATTTATGGTTAAATTATTGAATGATGATTATAAATTATGCTTATGTGTGTTTTTCGATAAACTAACTTAACATTTTCTTTGTGTTTGTGTTTGTTCATCTCTTAGATTGTAATGATCATCTTTATTATGTGAGTAGATGAGGAGCTATCTCTGGATGAGATGTTAGGTGGCAATGATGGAGCAGAAGACCAGTCTTAAACTTCTTAATGACTGATGTTGTATATATATTTATAGTTGTGTATAGTTTCTTTTTGATAAACTTTTATATACACTTTAACTCTCTAATGTAAAGAGTAATGTTGAATAATATTTTATCTTCTCTTAAATAACTATAAAAGTTCATATATATTTTTCTCATGATTGTTCTAGTTTTATTTAGGTTTAATAGGTTCGGAGGTCCCTATATTTGCGGGTTCGTTTCAATTGGGTCCTCCAATTTTGGAAGTGATCAATTGGGTCTTAACTTAACAAAATTAAGTCAATAATACCCTTTCCGTTAAATGCAATGGACAGCGTTAACTTTTTAAACAGATGGCATGTTGAGTCATCCTTTTATTTGCAGGTGGCAAAGTTTAAGCTGAATATGTGGATTTTATATCATTTCAAATTGTAAAATGTAATAAAAGTAGAATTAGGGTAAAATGTAATAAAAACATAATTAAGGTCAAATGTAATAAAGGCATCCTTCTCCAGTATTTGTCCTTGTTTTCGTCTGCAAACTCCTCCGTTCCCAAATCAGAACCCTAAATTGACAGCATTCTCATATTTTCCAATGGGTTCGAGAGGAGCCACTGTGGTGCTATCGAGAGCAAACAGGATAAGAACGAAGCTTCAGTCTGCGCTGGAAGCCACCGTTTTAGAGGTGGACGACGTGTCGCACCAGCACGCGGGTCATGCTGCCGTGAGGGGAAGTTCCGACAAGGAGACCCACTTCAACGTGAAGATCGTTTCGTCCAAGTTCGAGGGTCAGAGCCTCGTGAAACGACACCGTCTCGTCTATGACCTCCTCGCCGAAGAGCTTGAGTCCGGCCTGCACACCCCCTCCATTGTCGTCTATGACGCGTTGCAGAAGCTTGAAACTTTTCAGATGTGAGTTTGAAGCTTCTATCTTCCTATTGTCAAAACAAGTTCGTCTGCACACCAATGTTTGAAGAGTACCAAAGTGTCACCAAAAAACATATGAACAGATTCTCCTTGCTGGTGGAGGACATTGTCTTCCCGCTCTTCCCTCCACTCCCTCCTCCCTCCTCCCTCCTCCCTGGATTTCCAATTTTTCACAATATCAACAACCTTTCATCATTACATTCTGGATACTCAAAACAACAATAATTACAAAAAAAATATACATTTTTATTATTTTTAATCTCTTTTTGTGCTTTTCTTTATTTATCAACTTACCCCACTTTCTTTCACCATGGCCTTGGCTTCATTTTCAAAGGAGGCTTTGGATCTCATGCTGTAAGAACCATGTGTGCTCATTGAAACTTTTTGTTGGTATGTTTCTTGTGGATGGGTCACAAATTTAAGATATTTTCTAATCAACTCCGGTGCCTTCATTAGCTTTTAAATTTGGTGCAAATTTCAACTAAATTTAATAAAAGTTAATGCAATCGTAGGAAAAGTAAGCTTTTTTTTATCTCTTGGAATAATATGAGTGACAAAATTGAAACACAACCCTAATATGAAAAAATAAAAATTGCGATGCAAATGCGAGAAGCGGTGACAAACTACACGTTGGGAATAATCATATAAAATCCACGTATTCAGCTCAAACTGTGCCACCTGCAAATAAAAAAATGACTCAGCATGCCAACTATTTAAAAAGTTAACACCGTCCATTGCATTTAACGGAAAGGGTATTATTGACTCAATTTTGTTAAATTAGGGATCCAATTGATCACTTCCAAAATTGGAGGATCCAATTGAAACGAACCCGCAAATATAGGGACCTCCGAACCTATTAAACCTTTTATTTATGTGTGATGTATCCTAATAGTGATAGTACCATTGAAATTTTGAAATTTTACACATAAAACCTATTAATATTTTTTAGAAAAAGAATTGAACATAATCTAAAACTTTACGGAAAACTGGTAATTAAACATGTTTATGGTAATCTTTCTCACTAGATAATCTCTATTAGATTGTCTAATGCTGGTCGGGAAAAGTTTTATATGCTATTAAAACATCATTATAGTTTCTCTATCTTTATTAACTTAGTTGATTAGTGAATTAGATATTATTTATAAGTTATAATATCAAATAATAGAAAATTAAATTAAATCTTAATAAAATTTACAACAGTTCTAAAAATTTAAAATTTTAATCACATTTCTAAACTCAATTATAAAATTCTATATAAATTTAAACACAAAATATATAGAACTTTAATTAAATCTTTACCACAATCCAATTCTACTCTGTTGTAAAAAAAATATTTTTTACAATAATTTTATATTTATTAAAAATATGTGATTAAAAAAAATATTCACATTTTTTTAACAAAGATGAACTCTCTTAAAACTAGTTACATGTTTAATTGATCTAAAATGCTTTTTATAAGAAAGATGAACTCTTTTGAAACTAATTACGTGTTTAATTGATCTAAAATACCTTTTTATTTTTTGTATAAATCACATGAAAAACATCAATCCTTAGATCGATTTCTCTACTTCCTCCTCCTCCACGTCACCTTATTATTTTAGTCAACCTGAGGTCCTCTTCAAATTCACGATTGAGTCTTTCCAGGCCCACATAAATCTAAAATTATACTCAAATACAAAAATATAGGGCATACAATTTCATAATTAACAAAGAAATAAATACATTAAATTTTATTAATTTCATTTTAGATTATTTATTCTTTAAAATATTTTAAAATTTACAATTTTTTTTTTTATTTTCATGAAATATTTCAATCATCACAAAATATATAAAAATTTCTGAATATTAAACAACTATTAATGATTAAAATATATATCTTTGTCAGTTAGAGTGTTTTTTTCGCCATTTTTTATTGATGTGGACTGAAAATCTTTCAACTTACATTGAAAAAACAATCATAGTTAATAACGTTTCAGCCAAAATCAGACTGAAAAAAATCATATTGAAAAGAAAATACAAATAGAAAATGCATAAATTTGAGAAAACAAAAAATATTAAACTTTTACATTTTTTTAGTCAAATTGCGAAATTATCTAATTTTGAATAATTTAGTTATTCTCATAAAATTTTAAAAGAACAATGATACTCATACATCTTTATTTATCTACATCTATTATATGTTTGTTTTTTCTTTTAATATCTTTCTTTTTATCACATCGTATAAATTATAAATTTATTATTTTTATTATCTTTCTTTCTCTCTCTATATATATATAATAAGTAGTAATGTATTTTTTTAGATGAATCATTTTTCTAACAATAAATCATTCTCTTAAAATTTCCTATTTCCCTTTTAAAAGAGTAAAGTGAGTAAAAAGTACTCAGTTTCATCAATTGACTTTGTAGTTTTCTTGTTACTTGTGCCAACCAAGTTTCACGTACGATCTTAATGGTGGTATGAATGAACGGCTCCAACTTGTCCGATGCCGTAGCTAAGATAACCACGCTGCATTCATTTCACCATTAACATTGATATGTTAAGATGCCAACTTTTTATTATTTAGTTGGTTAATTATGGTCTTTTTTTCTTTAAACTATAAAACAATTTAAGTTCCTTTTTCAAAGTTTCATTCAACATCTTTAACTTTAAAAGATATTTAGATTTAATCCTCAATAATTAAGTGTTAACTGTTTTTTGACTTGGCAAAAATAGTGTGCCATGTCACCCAATCATTTTTTTACATATGTCATGTATTAGTATTTTCATTTATTTCGTTTTTTTTTTGTTTTTCTTTGTTTCTTTTTTCCTTTCTCCTCATCTCGAGCTGTCTTCATCCTGGTCCAAGGTTTTCAACCTCTTCCTTCTTCTTCATCTTCAGTATGCTTCCTCCATCCATTTTATCTGTTTTTGCATTTTATTTCTCTATTTTCACATTCGATTAACGAGTTGTGTCCCTGGGTGAAGAACATTCAAGTAGAGTGGGAAAATAAGATGATTTCAATGGTGTTGGCGCCTTTATATGTATGACGAATGAAGATTAATTTTGTTGGATTTTCTGTGATTTTATGTTCTGTATGAAAATAATTTTTGGAATTTTTGATAGTTTTGATAATTGGAAGACGAAGTTAAAGCTAGACGTGATAATGGAATTTTGCATGTCGTTGTGGTTGTGAGGTTAATAATAAATGATAGATATGTTGAAGGTGGAAATGGAAAATGATTATGTGTGTTGTGATAGAAGTGTTTTGAAGAAAATGGAGTAGAAAATTAGTTTTATTCTTTAAATTAAATAATTTACTTGTCTTAAACGAGCAGTTGACGTGACACTTTATTTGTCACGTTTAAAAAGATATTAACTACTGAAGACCAAGTATATGAATTTCAAAAGGATAAAGACGTTAATATAACACATTTTAAAAAAATAAAAATTGTTTAATAGTTTTGGAATAAAAAACATATTATCCCTTCTTTATGCAATGTGGTTCCTGGAATGCCACTGTACTCTCAACAAATTCGCCCATTTTACTCTCTATCTGATAATTATGATTTGAGCAAGCTGATAGTTCTGACCAGATTGAAGAATTTGTTCTGAAAATGTCTTCACATTCCAATTCTTAAGTCAATTCTCTACGACATCTCTCTATCTTATGTAGTTTTGTCTTACATCGTATCCAAAATTATTGCCTACTCAGAAGTTGCTAAATGTTGACTAACTTCTCTTACTTATATCTAAATATAGCCATTAGTATATTAATTGAAATATCTTTCGCTTCGTTAGTTATTACTTGTTTTAACGCCGACACTTTATATCTGCTGATTATTTAAACACAAGTAGTGTGATGAGCAGGATAGTGTTTGGTCAAATCAATATGATTGGGTTAAGATGTTTTCACTGAAATCGTTCCTTCCTTGTTCGGGTTAAGAAAACTGGTATTAAGTCTTCTATATACATATAAAACCTCAGCCCAGTGGGCGCGTGCATGCGTGACCTTTCTGAAGACTTAATTGGATGAATTGACTCCTAATAGTCAAATATAGCAGCTTGAACGATATAAAATACCCCATTCTCATCCATTTTTAACACACAAATTAAATCCAAAAAAAAACATGTCTTCAACCTTCTGCATAGTTTTACTCGTTGTTCTATCCTTCGGCAGTGTACTGTCGGAGCTATGCAACCCACAAGACAAGCAAGCCCTTCTCCAAATCAAGAAAGACCTTGGCAACCCCATCACTCTCTCCTCATGGCTTCCAACCACCGACTGTTGCAACAGAACCTGGCAAGGTGTTTCGTGCGACACCGACACCCAAACATACCGCGTCAACAACCTCGACCTCTCCGACCTTAACCTCCCAAAACCCTATCCCGTCCCTTCCTCCCTCGCCAACCTCCCTTTCCTCAATTTTCTCTACATTGGCCGCACCGACAACCTCGTCGGTCCAATCCCCACTGCCATCGCTAAACTCACCCAACTCCGTTATCTCTATATCACCCACACCAATGTCTCCGGCACAATACCCGATTTCTTGTCACAAATCAAAACCCTCGTCACCCTCGACTTCTCCTACAACGCCCTCTCCGGCACCCTCCCTCCGTCCATCTCTTCTCTCCCCAACCTCGTCGGGATCACCTTCGACGGCAACAGAATCTCCGGAGCCATCCCCGACTCCTACGGCTCTTTTTCGAAGCTGTTCACGTCGATGACCATCTCCCGCAACCGCCTCACCGGGAAGATTCCAGCGACTTTTGCGAATCTGAACCTGGCGTTCGTTGACTTGTCTCGGAACATGCTGGAGGGTGACGCGTCGGTGTTGTTCGGGTCGGATAAGAACACGCAGAAGATACATCTGGCGAAGAACTCTCTTGCTTTTGATCTGGGGAAGGTAGGGTTGTCAGAGAACTTGAACGGGTTGGATCTGAGGAACAACCGTATCTATGGGACGCTACCTGAGGGACTCACGCAGCTTAAGTTTCTGCATAGTTTGAATGTGAGCTTCAATAATCTGTGTGGTGAGATTCCTCAAGGTGGGAACTTGCAAAGATTTGACGTGTCTTCGTACGCTAACAACAAATGCTTGTGTGGCTCTCCTCTTCCTGCTTGCACTTGATCATTTCCTTTCCAGATTTGGTAATATATGGATGCATAATGTTTGCCTTTGTAAACATCTATAATTCTGTCTCCACCTCATCAACCCTTAGATTGAGAAAATAAGTTTATAAGACATGTGATACAATAAATGCCTTCTATCATTACCCTAAAAGTGAATAATAATATTTACTTTAGGTAGTATACTACTCCTATCTCTCTCCGTGTGTCAAAGTTAAATATATTTTTAATACATCAAGCTTATTTTATTTATTCGTTTAATCATGCTACTAAATAGTTTAAATATTTATTTAGTGTGGGAACAACTTCAAATATTAATATTGCTTTAATATAAATTATCAATTAATTTGAGATAATTAAAAATACTAAAACTTGTATAATTTGTAACAGGTTGGAAGTTTTGTGTAACAGGATGGATTTTTAAAATAATAGAAAGAAGGTAAACAGAAATAAAGTGAAGAAGATAAAATAGAAATAAGATGAAGAAAATAAGAATATAATACAACGAAAGCTGAAAATAGGAATACAAAAGAGTATTTTCATAATGAAAATTAAATAAAACTTACAGTTTTCATAAACGAAAGAACTTGTTAGAAACGAAATCTTATTATAAATATTTTCTTCATAAAATTCTTACAACTCTTATATATATAACTTACATACTTATTTGTCAAACTTCTCAAACTTCTGCATTCTGGTCTAGATAGAATTCTCATCAAGATAGAATATTATTGATATAATAAAACACACTGGATATTACATGTTTTACAATAATGTCCTTTAATCATTTACATTTTTATTCTTATTTTTAAAATATCTTATTTTTATCAAACTTTTTATGACGAGCTTCTTGTCTTTATTTTTTTTTTCTTTTTCAAATTTATCATGATGAGAAATTTTTTTTTCTTAGTGTTGTCATATTTTTTTTCTTCTTTATCTTCTTTTCTTCTTTTTTTTGAGTGTTGTCATGTCTTTTGTTCATCTTTGTTTTCTTTTCTTTTTATGAGTGTTATTACATCTTCTTTTCTTATTTCATCAAACATATGAAATGGATTAAACTGAAGATTTTCTTCTTTTGAATCTATCTTTGATGCTAATGAATTTGCCCGTTCAAAGTCCTTCATGTTTGTTATTGTTGCTAATTCTGTAGTAGTCTCTGTTTTTTAACCATAAATAATAACTTCTATAGGTTAATGCTAGACTTGTTTCTTCCTTCTTTTGTCGATAATTGACTTGTCATTGATCAATAATTTTCTTATTGACAAGGCTAGTATTAACTTTGTTCCACCACTTGAGTTTAAACCTTCTTGAGAGGGATTTTATATCTACGTTTTCATAAATTGGTTCTATAATATATTCCCAAGTTACAATCCAAGTTATAGACTAAGTAGTCACAAATGATATCAATCTATAACCTGAATCAAACAAAGTCTTTTCTCTAAAGTAAGAATAAACTTCTGTAATTTGAGATGGGAAAATAGACGGCAATGAGCCGAATTCTGAAAACCATTTAATAAATCCTTTGGAAAATTTTAGGGAGATTATTCCTCTCCTAAATCAGATAAACCATGAATGGGTTTCTGGATGAACATATAAGGCTTTGGATCAGACTTCTATATAATCATAATAATTGTACGTTTGGGGGTTAAAGGTTCTTGAGAAGGATTTAGAATCATGGGGTCGTTAAAGGTTCTAAAGATAATGTTTTTAAGACTTTTAGTGTTGAGAAAAGGATAATTCATTGTCATTTTTAGTATGAGATATTTAAGCAGAATCAGTATCTACTAAAATAAACTCATAAAACATTCTAGTTTTGGCTAGCTCTATCAGATGGTAATGAAAATCATTGGGAATACTAGTAAAAAATCTTTGATAATAGTGTGCGGTGACACTTTTGAAATTATATTGACAGTATAGGCCTCGGTTGGAACAGACCGACGACAGTATATGCCTTTCGGCCTCGGTTCTGAGGAAAACCGCGACTTATTGTCCCTACAAAATTCTGACATTCCCCCAAGACAGTCTTGAAATAAATTTACAGGGAATAGAATAATAAAGAGTTGGTGGGTCTGACTAAGTTTTCAAAAATGGAAGGGGCTTCCAGTTCGGAAAAAATAAAAAAATAAACTCAAACCGAGAAGGAAAATGAAAAATGGGAGGGAATGAAAAAAAAATGCAAGGGAGAAGAAGGAGCATAAAAATAGGATATTCTTTATTACGTACGTAGATAAAATCTGTATATAAGGTTGAATTATTTATGAATCAAAATCGATAAATAAATATTTATATGTAATGTTAATTTACCTACGAATTATAATTAGTAGATAATATTTGTATATAATAATTAATTATGAATTTATATTCATATGTAATAATAATTGATAAGTAAATCATGATTTTATTTTAAATTTTTTGTGATGTACTCTTTTAACATCCCTCGCCCTTCCTCCACTCCAAGATCAAGGACATATGCAGCTTCGACTACCGAATCCAGAGCAACCATGTTTGATTAAGGAGTCACCAAAAAGGCCATGGCCTTATTAAGTTGCACAAAGCAATACTATTTTAGATTTTGAAATTTGCATTTGAAAAGGTTGGATAAAAAGCAGTACTAAGATAGAAGATACACCAAATAATATCTGAAAAGAAAAACAAGTGTCTAAACTTACAGGACATCAAAGGAATCCAATGCTAAAAAGACAAAGGTAAGCACATCGATTAAGGACAACAGCCCTTGAAACTGTTTTAAAAGCAGAACAATAATGTGGACACAGTCGTATCTTTTCATATCTTTATCCTTCTCAAGAAGAAAACCTTGTACGTAATTAAGGATATCAGAAGAACCACCCAAAAATAGAAAATAGATATGAGAATTAAGAAACGAACCTTTGGTTCAGATTTGTCTGTCCATTGTATAGAGGGAGAACCAATTTAAAATTTTCAAAATAAAGAAAATTTGATCTTCTAAATAAATAAAATCAGAATTTTGAATTATCATAAAAGATCTCCAAAGATCAAAGTACCATAGCTGGCAAAATTCTTCTTCAGGTAAGCCAACTTTTACTAATAATGTATATGTGTCAGTGACAGAATATAACTATGAAAGTGATAATTCTTTATGACTTCAATTCAGGTTTTGATAACAGTAATAATAGCTGGCAAATGTGACTTAACCCCCCAAAAATGAGACTAATCATTCACGCCACCGATCAATTAACACGGGTCTGTCTAGATAACAGCTAGGATCAAATACTCTGATCTGCAGTAAATATTAACAAAAAATGAAACAAAATATTCATCATGACCATTGAAACAGACTATATTACATCAAATTGTCCAGTGTATGGTGTAAAATCATGTACCAAGAAAAGCAAGGGGTACTCAATAGCAAAACAACAACACTGATGAATAAACCAAAAGTGACTGACTAACAAAATAACTCACCGATGAATAAACCAAAAGTGGTGCTCCGTAATATAACTTTTTCTTTTTCTCTGTATCTCTCTTCCCTCCATACTTCTATATATGACCCAACGCATCCACATTTCACAGATTAAACCACACCAATCGAAATCTCTGCGAACATGGCACGCTTAAGCATCACCGTACTCATCATGGTCCTATTCTGCAGAACTGCACTCTCGGAATTATGCAACCCACAAGACAAGCAAGCCCTTCTCCAGATCAAGAAAGAGCTTGGCAACCCAACCACCCTCTCCTCCTGGCTCCCAAACACCGACTGCTGCAACCCGCAATGGGAAGGTGTCTCATGCGACATCGACACCAAAACGTACCGGGTCAACAGCCTCGACCTTACCGACCTTAGCCTCCCCAAACCCTACCCTATCCCTTCCTCCGTCGCCAACCTCCCCTACCTCAGTTTTCTCTACATTAGTCGCATCAACAACCTCGTCGGTCCAATCTCCCCCTCCATCGCAAAGCTCACCAAACTCCGTTACCTCTACATCACCCACACCAACGTCTCTGGTCAGATACCCCATTTCTTGTCCCAGATGAAAACCCTTTTGACCATTGATTTCTCCTACAACGCCCTATCCGGTACCCTCCCTCCCTCCCTCTCCTCTCTCCCCAACCTCCTCGGAATCTCCTTCGACGGCAACCACATCTCCGGCGCCATCCCGGACTCCTTCGGCTCCTTTCCGAAGCATTTCACGGTGCTGACACTCTCCCGCAACCGCCTCACCGGCAAGATTCCGGCGACGCTGGCGAAGCTGGACCTGGCGTTCGTGGACTTGTCTCAGAACATGCTGGAAGGAGATGCGTCGGTGCTGTTTGGGGAAAAGAAGGAAAGGCTGCAGAAGATAAACCTGGCGAAGAACTTGCTGGCTTTCGATTTGGGAAAAATAAGGCTGTCGAAGTCGAAGGACTTGGGGGCTTTGGATCTTAGGAACAACCGTATCTACGGGAGTCTTCCGAAGGTTCTTACGTCGTTTAAGTATCTGAAGCTTTTGAATGTCAGCTACAATAATCTGTGTGGTGAGATTCCACAAGGTGGGAAGTTGCAAAGATTTGATGAATCTTGCTATGCTCATAACAAGTGCTTGTGCGGTTCTCCACTTCCTGCTTGCACTTAATTACTGTCACATTCACAAAATAGGTATTATGTGTGTTTCTCCTTCATGCTACACGTGGTTTTAATGAGTAATTAATCCACGTTTAACCTGTGTTTTTAGTGTTAATAATGATACCTATTCTAATGTGATGCTATCTGTGTTTCGACATGATGTCATGCGTGGGGTTTTAGTCACTTCGACTATATTCAATGCTTGTATTTTTTTTCTTTTAATATTTATATTTTAAATTATATAGTCAATATTCTAATCTGCATTCCTTAGAAAAAAATAAAATATAATTAAAACGTTTAAAATAGTATAATAATATTGAAAGTAATTGAAAAATATAAAAATGAGAATGCATAAAATTGTAATCCCGTGAAGCATAAAGACAAAAATGCAATGCGGTGCGGAAAAGGTGAAGAAAGCAACCAATAGGAAAAAGGCGGAAGGCAAATGAGTTTGAGGGCTTGTTTTCCAAGGAAATGACGCAGGATAACTTTGTTTTTAACTGTAATTTTCACTGTGATTATTTAAGGGTGTGTATTTATCTAAGGGTGATAATTTGAGAAAGAGGTTCGACAAATTTGAGTGAATTTGAGGAATAAATTGTATGTTTATTTTAATAGATTCGAAAGTGATTGAGGGTAATGATTTGAGGGAGAAGGATTTGATAAATTTAAGTAGATTTGAGAATATTAAGAATGGATTTAAAATTAAAATTTATGAAAGTTTTCGTAAAATTTGATAGATAAAAAATGTATTAATTAATAGAAATTAAATATTATAAAAAAATGTCGTGTAAAAGTAACATTAAATTATATTTATTATATAAAATAAATTTTAAGTATTGAAAACCAAAAGAAATAATAAAAAAAAGTAAAATGAAATTATTTTTTGTAATCTTCACCCACACGAAAAATAATTACAAATAAACTTCACTCACACAATCCACCATTATAATATTTTTATTAAACTCAAATATAAATATTTGTATTATAAAAATGTATAATTTATAATAGTGAATAAAAAAGAAGTTGAAATATTACTAGGGGTTTGTTTTCTTTACTCCTAAATTAATGGTGAAAGAAATATATTAATCAGATGATGGACCAATTTTGTGGGTGGTGGTGGAGGAGGTGTATGAGTTAGACAATTGGCCTTGAAAGTAAGAGGGTTTCGTTCATCTTTGTTTTCTGATATATTATTGATTAAAAAGAGGACCTTTTTGAGGGGAACAATGAGAGAATATGTCATGAGTGATTTACTCGTGCTGGAATGTATTCTCAACTTACTTAAATTCGGTTACGCTATGTAATGAAGGTTATATGTAATTGGTTCTTTCTTTCTTGTACTTGATTACTTAAATTAAAAATGATAATATATGAGGACAAACTAGACATTTCATCAAAAATTGTTTTAAATTTGTACAAAGTATGAAGATTGGAATTTTAAGTAATCTCGCAAATGATAACAGATTAGAAATAAATAAAGTATTAAAGTAGATAGGTATATTAAAATAATGAAATCGAATAATTTATTTTAAAATAATCTTATAATATAAATAGAATTTTTTAAAACTCGGTTCATTATTCAAATCACTTCTATCTCTCTAGAACATTATTTTTCTTGAGTTATCTCACTTCTCTCTACTCTTTTTCACTCCTTGATCCACTGTTTGACGATCAGGAGGTACCTAAGAGATCACAACGTCAAAACCTACCTATTTGCCCGATCAATTTATCGATTTGAGCAAGTAAGTTTTGTTCCTCTTTTTTAGGTTTTCTCTAATTCTATGATCATACAGAAATTCTGCCTTGCATGTGTTTGAAGTCTCCTTCTCTTGATTCTTAGTTCAATTTAAGTTCTAAGAGTCGTTTCCTATCACCGATTGGTGATTTGTAAGTGTTTCTAGAATTTCCTTATGGTGCCAGCAAACTGTCGGGGTTTCTGTGAGTTGTGCAGAGTTTAGTCGAGGTAAGGGAGCTAGGTTACTACTTTAATTATGATTTAGTGGATATGAGTGATGATGCATGTGCACTTCGTATGGATTGAACTAATATGTTGAATTTTAGAGTATATGTATTATGTGTGATTGAATGTTGTGAGAATGAATTGATAAACTATGTAATGGATTGAGTTGAGTTATGTTTGAACTGTGATTGAATAGGTGTTAAGTCAGAATCTGTGATAAGAAGGTTTGGTAATGAGTAGTGTATCTTTGATTTTGGGCTAGTTTCAAGGAAGTGGTGAAAATGAGAATTTGAGGTTTGATGTTCAATTGGTCTGTTGGGACAGTTTGGGTAAGTCAAATGAGATTTGAGTCCTTAAATTGCTTAAACAAGTGTCAAAAATGGTAGAACATGAATTGGGTCCATAAGTTGCTGATTTGTGAGTTTTGAAGAGTTAATTGCTTAGGAAACACTTTAAAATGATGATAGTAAGGTTTAGAAACACTTGCTCAAATCTAATTAGGTATATAACAAAATTTAGGAGGATTAGAAGTTGGGCAAAGTCTTTTGAATTGGTAAATTTTGGGTAGGGGCATAATTCTACAGATTTTGGTGCTATAGATTATGCAGACTCGCTAAGTGAGTGGAGTCACTGAGCAAGTGGTTGTAGATAGACCCTCTATTTGAGGATTCGCACAGCGAGAAGGTGCGTTGAGCGAATGATTGAGGTCTGGGAGCATTGTCAAATTAATTTGATTAGAAAATGGGTGAGCTCTGCAAGTGAGTTAGGGGTCTGGGCCACTATTTGAACTTTCGCATAGCGAGTTGGGGCGCTAAGCGAGAGGTTGGGGTCTGATACCACTAGTAGTTTAATTCGCTCAGTGAGTTGGGTCGTTGAGCGAGTGAGTTAGAGGTTGGGGTAACTGTTAGTGGATTCACACAACGAGTTGGGTCGTTGTGCGAGTAAAGTCTATGGTCGCTCAATAGGTGTGTGCGTAGAGCGACTATTCCAGATTGCCATGTATTCTTTCTTCTTTGATCTTTATTGGTTTGAGTTATGTAATTAATTCAATTGTGGATGATGTATGACTATGTATGAGCATTATGTGAGTATCAAAGTAATGTGTATAATGAAATTGTGAAAGTATGCATAATTATATCGGTTCAAATGATTCCACGGATGGTTATATGGGTTCCACGGGAGGACTCTTTCGGTATGGTTAATTGTTATTAGAATGAATACAGGGAGCTCAGTATTGGGGGTTATCCTAACGCTCTAATGATCTTTCATTCTCAAATAGAGAGGATTGATTCATGTGGTGAGAGTAGTAGGAGATCCTAGTGTAGGCGCTACTCAGAGGCCTATTGTGCGGTAACGGACTAACCTTGTGTGTGTGGTACGGTGAAACCCATGGCAATGACTTTGCAAAGCAGTAGAGGTCACCACAAGTGTACAAACCGCCATAGCTCGATATTCATTCTAAGTCCCGACAGTCAAGTCTAAGTCATAACATATTTAGGATGTTTGAAATAATTATATCATATGCATGAATTAAGTTTTGATTGTATGTTTTACTAATGTATGAATCTTTTATCTATATTGTTTGTATGTTATCTTTGATTCTCTTCTTTTGCTATGATCATCCTATGACTGTGAGCAAAAGGGGATGAGACTTCTTTAGAGCGTGCTGAGGGTGATGTTGCATATGCTTAACTGGCAGGACTTAGATGTTGTAGATAACTTTATCATAATTAGTTGTAAATAAAGTAAAACTTTATAGTTTTTTTGGGAAGACTATAAAACTTATTTTATTTTCCTCACTGTCTAAATTGTTCTATAGTATCATGTATGTGATAACTCTTTTAATATAGTTTTATGCTATATTTTTGGAATGTTTTTAAATCAATGGAAACGAAAACAATTTATCTTGTAATTATGTTTTCAAAAACCCGCGTAAACAACACCCTCTATGCATATGATAACATCCTATATCAACTTCATACTAAACTACACTCATTATTTTCAAGTACGATAAAATTATATCATTTCTTTTATATTTTTATTGTTATATATTTTTTAATTATTAATTGTAATACAATGTATTTTTCTTTTATATTTATATATATATATATATATATATATATATATATATATATATATATAAAAGTTACCTCTTATTAAAATGCTTCTTATACATGATTCTAACTTTTTAAAAACTTATATTTGGTTAAATATGTTTTTAATTTTTAAGTTTGGACTTGGAATTTGTTATTATTTTAAATTGATATATTTTGGATCTTAAATTTTAAAAATAAATTAATATAGTAATTTTAGTTTAATAACATTATTATTTTTAGGTTTGTTAAAGAGTTTTTCATCCTACTATTTAAGTTTGAACATTTTAAATGATATAAATGGTTGAAACGTCAATATTTTAACACTTCAAAAAAAATTAATATAATTGAATTAAAAAAGTTACATACATTCATTTTTAACATTTGAAAACTAAAATTATCAAAGTTTGATATATAAATTAATTTTAATTTTATGTCAAAAATATAAGAATTAAAAATATATTTAACTTTTAAAAGTACGACAAGACTAATTTTATTTTTTAATTTATGTAAAGGTTAAATTTAAATTTATTAAAAGTTTATTATAATTACGTTATTCTTTTAAATTTTAAAGTTAGTATTAGTTTGAAAACATTTTACTTTTTTAATTAAGATATCATTAACAGTGAAAAGTACTTTTAGTTGTTAGAAACATTTAATCAAAATTAATTGTAAGAATAAGTTGAGTTTTAATTAGAAACTTTGAAACTCTTGATTTATATTACTAATTTATTGTAAGAAAGATTTAATCAGAATTAACTATAAGAATAAGTTGGGTTTTAATTAGAAACTTTGAAACTCTTGATTTATATTACTAATTTATTGGTTATAGTTTAAAGGGGATTGAAATTGTATTAATAAATTAACGTTTTTATTTCTTCATATTTTAATATTTATTTTTATTTTATTTATTGAATATAATGAAAATTATATATAAAATTAATTTATTTGTATTGATTTAGCATGCTGTATTTATAATAAAAAATGATAACAACTAAGTCCAAAATATAAATAAAAAATATAAATAAAAAATAATAATAAATTAAATAAAAATAAAAAATAAAAATAAAATATCCATATAATATAATTAATAATTTAATATAT